TATATTGTGTTGATAAACTCCTCAGTTCCTGTGTGCTTGTTAGGATTTAACAAATCTATATTGAAGTCACCGCATATGAACATTGATTTATGGCTTAGTGTCTGGTAATTTTCTTCCATCCACTCATTAAACTGGTCTATGTTGGCACCAGGTGCTCTATAAATACAGCTTATTACAACATTTTTCTTTTTTTCTAGTAGTAATTCAACCGTCACACACTCCAGCAAGTTGTCGATCGCCCTTGACATATTTTCCAGTTTTTTGTAACAAAGGTTGTTATCTATGTACAAGGCCACTCCACCTCCCGTCTTATTCACTCTATTTGTGTAAACCAAGTCATAACCATCCAAGTCAAGGTCGCTTCCTCTTACATTATTAAACCATGTTTCTGAAAAAGCAATTATATTAAAAGAGTGTGTAAGACTACTAAGATAATGTTTTATACTCTGAAAGTTTGCATATAAACTTCTGCTATTAAAATGAATTAATGATAAATTATTTTCAGTCTTAACATTGCTGTTAAACTGCTCATCCGTATAATACCTGCAGTTATTTTCATAGTTCACAAAAAAGTTTATTTCTGGGTCAAAATCTTCGTCTGGTTCATGATGTTGACTTTCAGAGTTTCCAGATGTGTTCAGTTCCAAATCCACTTCGTCGAAAACTTTTAACTTATGAGACAAATCACTTGCCTCATTCAGTACATGTGTCATGCTTGGTGTTGTAGACTCGACACTCATCTGCCATCGCAGATATCAATACACCTGCGTATTTCTTCAAATCAAATCTCTCCCATGCAACCAAGGGTCCAGCGGCCCCTCCTCCCACTCCTTGTCTCAGCAAGCTGGTCTTCGGTCCTGCTTCCTGGTTCTGAGGACGGGTCACTAGTCGGTCATATCTCAGAAAGGCAATATCTCCTTTCTGCCTTTCCACTGCTGGATGTCAGCACCAAGCCACAGCTGTTTCTTAGGTCCCAGCTCTCCACCTCGCTCTCCTGCTGTCTCTGCCCTACCACCCGTGTCCCCTTAAAACCTTATTCAGTATTCATATGGTTTGCCTCGTTCATGGTCAGACTATTATTATACAGATGTTATATACT